AATTTTTATGGCCTCATTAAATGAAGCGAATATCATCACATGCAGAAAATGAATTTTGCAGCATCTTAATGATCCACAAAAGTGCATTCATTGAGTTTATTATTCGCTCGAAAAGTAAGCATAAAAACATTAGTGTATGAAAAATTCTGTCGTATCATCTCAACGAACAAAGGCCGCATCATTGTGCAGCAGAATAACAGTCGCTGTGAACATCCACACTCAAAAATTGTGAATCATTTCCAAAGAAGGCTACTGAAGCAGAGTTTTCAAGTACAAAAAAATCCACTCCTCTATCAGTCATTTGTGTTTTTCCAAATGCAACAAAAACGAACATGTGTCAGGAAACGTGGGCAAGTTGCTCGTTTCCAATGCACTCAAACATTCTTCCATCGTATCGGCACGATTGAATTCCAATCCTTGAATCTCAATAAGAGCCGCAACATCTTGTAGCGCTTTCGACGTTGTCGGTCGTTCGTTCACAAGCAACAACTCGCCACTGCCCATCGAGTAACTTCTGAAATTCATTCGAAACATTTCACATTCACCGTAATTTCACCTCCTATCAAATTTTCACTTCCGGCTGCAAACGAATTTTCACTTCCGACTGCAAATTCATTGAGTTTCTTTCTGCTGTAAGGTTTCTGCTGAACTCGACGGCAAACGAATGTATAATATTCACTGAAGTGAACAATAATCACACTGAATACAATAACAATGCAAAATGGATGCGTATTCTTTCTGCTGTTCGTACTCAGCATCATTTGCAACTGGATTTCTCGTAAATATTTCCATGGCAAAACGATTGATTGCAGACTGAAGCCCAGTGCTTACATCCAAGCCGCAATTACGACAATCATCGCACACTGAAGTGTACGTTAAGGACTCATTGTGACATGTTTGAAGTGAATATTCAGTATGCAGAAGTAGTTCCTTATAAGACTCTCGTATAAAAAGTGGTTGAGAGTATGCAAGGATAAAAGTAAAAAGATACTGAAGCTTCGTAAGACTTCATTATATGACTGATTCACTTGGAACAAAACACTACTTGGTTACAACATGATTTTAGAGTCACTGATGATGAGCATCTCAATTGATAGCGCTGACAAGTATCTCACGCGAAGCACTTTAATGATTGCAGCAGTAATTGGGGAAGTGATGATTCTCTTCATCTGTAAACAATTTTGCATATAATTCGAAATAAGCAGCCATCAGCAAACATAAACTTAGGGGATAAGATGAAGGCACCAACTAACAAATGACAAACAGCATATTCCGTCATATGATAAGTTGCTAAA